CCACCACCAAACAAAAGCTTCATATTATGAATATTGGGGTTACAAAGAAAAAGAAAAGGTGCCATAAAATGATCTCTTTTGTTGCAGTAAAAGTTTAAAAATAAAAATGATGAATCCACAATCTCATGAGACTGAAAGCAGGAAATGTTGCAAAACTATAAACTAAATAATACAAATCCCCAAAACACAGTCACCAACAGCAACCGATTTAAATATGTATACTACAGGTAAAAATAAAAGTTCCCATCCTATCCAGCCTTTTCCTCCTTCAGGCCACTGTTTACTCTTTTAAATAGTAACCGGAGACTGTGAGACAGCTGGAAACAGCAGCTCACTCGTGGCATTTTTGTCCAATTTTGTCTTAAATGGAGAGCAACAGGAAATGCAGAGGATGCCATGTGCCAAATCTCTGATTCAAAGTCAAGATGCTGCCCCTCTGTGACCTCCAGCTTCTTATCTCACTGCATTTCCTGTAGTTTCCACTTCACATAGCCAACATGTTTGAAATTACTCGTGAAGCTCAGCCAAGTGTACCCACCTACAACATACCCGCCTTATCTGACTCCTAAATATAGAACGGCCACACGTTTTCCTCAGAAAAAGGAAGCTTTCTCCTCAGCTTATAACACTGCTCAGTATTTTTTGTTGTCATGAACAGAGGTAAGAATTTTGGCTGCAGTTTAGCATCCTAACTTAAAGCTGCCAAAATATGTAGTCAGTATGACTGGTGTCCAAAATAACTGGAGACAAAGGTTAGTATGCTGCATATATGCATGCTTATATGCATATATATGCATGCTTATATGCATATATATGCATGCTTATATGCATATATGCATGCTTATATGCATATATGCATGCTTATATGCATATAAGTAAATAAAGACAATTCATAACATGTTCAATAAGCCGGTAATTTAAGGGTTCATGTTAGCTCAAACAAAACAGTTTTGTCTGGTTGCTACAGCTTCCTCCTGTCATCAGCTGTAATAATTGTGAATGTTAGAAGTTGTCTGGGTCTGTGTTAACTCTATAATGGATCAGGACTTTTATTATTAGATTCAAATTTGCACTTTGATCCCTTTGCCCTGCAGCAGAGTGAGGTTTGTTAAAAATAAACTTATTCTAATTACTGTACTGTTTGTTTTGCCGATAAAGACTGTGCTTGTATGTGTTGTGTGTTGTGTTGAGATAAATTTGTTGGTCTGTCTTGTTCTAAGGCACATGAGATTGTTGAAGTGTGTCGTGACGCCTGATTTTATTCCCTGCAGCTTTTGGATTTTTGTTTATTATGTTTATTTTTGTTTATCTTTTCGCTGCTGAAAATTGAAGTTTTTGATTATTTGACCAGTTGAGTTTGAGATTTCCTGTTTTGATTCTTTTATTATTTCAAGTATAGTGTGAATCTTAGTTCCTGTGATACTGGAGCTCACTTGGTGTTGTTTTTATGATGATCTTCGGTTTTGTATTATTATCGAGTTTCTTGGTGTTTTTACATGAAACGTGAGACATTAGCCTTCAAGTCCTAATGCCAGACATGTTCTCTAAGTGCAGTTAACATTCTTGAAATTGAATATGGTTTTCCAAGACCTAACAAAACAGCTAATAAAAGCTGAAAAGTAACAATACATAATGAAAAGAAGAAAGCTTTCTCACGAGCAGGTATATTCATAGAAACTACTCTCAGTGGATGTGCTGAGAAGCTTCAGTCACTGTGATAAAACAGTGTTGAATACTGTGCACAGTTCACACATCACTCATCATATTCTGCACAGAAGGACAAACAGAAGTGAGAAGAGAAACATGCTTCGAATGTAAAGTGTGTGACTTCTTGTGTTTCATACACTTCAGTTTTTATTTAGATCTTTTTTTTTTTTACATGTTTCTATGATGTAGTGAAAAAAATCATAAGCATTTCACAAGACAAATTTATGCAAAGAGTCTGTATTTTTAAATTCTGATTTATGGCCACCCATTCCTGTCTCACTGGTGCTCCAAGCTGTTCCCAGTTTGTGTTCTTTTGCTTGTCTAGCTGCTTCTTAAAGACTAACAAAACTAAAAACATCCCAAAGACTAAAGTTTTCCAAAGATCCAGGTGCAATCTGAGGGCAAACGGTATGGTTTTCAGCATGATGGCTCCAACCAGGCAGAAGTGATGGCTCGGTGGCTCAGAGATGATCAAATTAACATTTTGCATCTATGGCAAGGAAACTCCCCAAATCCGATCATATACGGTCAATCGTTCCAAAGCACATGGAGAAAATATCTTAAAAATAAGTTAATAGTCATAAAAAGGCATTTCTGCAAGTACAGAAAAACCTCCATTCAAAAAGAAAAATGCTGCATGATCTGCTTGTTTATTTTCTTTTTGAAGGAGCTTTTGAGTAACGTCTGCTCTGACTATGACTCAGTAGTAAAAATTCTTCAAACAAACATCTGACAAACTGGCTTTCTACAGGAAGACAGAAATCACACTGCCTTCTTTGGTGAAATTTCCCTTTATTAAAGCTGCGTTCGACTCAAACCTCAAACCTCAGTGAGGTGTTTCACTCTGACCTCCTGGTGACTGATGTTTGCTCATTACTCAACAGTAAACACAGTGAGCCAGTCAGTGTACTCCAAGGGGATTTAATGAAGTCTTTTTCTTCTTCAGCTGTTTCTATTTCAGCTGTGACCTTTTCAACACGCACCAATCAGCCGTCGCTTCACAGTCAAACACACTTAAACACACTCTCCGTCTCTGTCTTTACACCTCGCCGGTGGCATCAGATTCATCACTCTGCCTGAAAAGGAACCCTGTTATTACTAACATGTTTGCCTTCTTTCCTAGAGTTAGATGAACGTTTTAATGCCAAAACTCAGAGCTTCAGAGATTCATGGATGTTCAGAGGTTTTAAAGACAATAAGTGTCCTTCTACATTTAAACCCAAAGAAACCTCTTTTCTTTTAATGTCATCATCTTTCACTTTTTAACCCAATTTCATTTTGTTTGGCAAATTCCTTCTTAGCATTTTTTTTGTTGTTGTTGTTTGGAAGACGCCTGTATCCTCACTTAAGCTGTGTGGATGGGAGTAAATCCTTGCTGCAAGGTTAAAAAAAAGAGGCTGGAAAACTTGAATGGAGCAGAGGTTTTAGTTTGTATGTCTATATCTTGTTCGAATGTGTGTGTCTGCATGTATTCAGCAATGTTACGTGAGCGAATGCCTTTTAGGAGGGATGGGAGAGCTAATGCCCGCTGACAGATGGATAGGTGGACAGTCCAGACAAATAGCAGCAGGTTGTTTCAGCAGCACAGTCATCAGATTTCCTGCCAAAGCCTTTAGAAACAGTCTGCCATCACTCACATGTTGCTCTTTGTTTAGCTGTCAGTAGTGACATGAAAGCTAGCTGTTTGCTATAACAACTAAATGCCTAACAAACCAGAAAGCCAAAACAGTTTGCTCTTTTAATACTCTGGCAAGCCAGAATAAAATATTTGCATTAGGCAAAGCCCCGGTGCTGTAACTGTATCCTGGACAGCTGAAGGTCACCACGCATAGTCTAAGGTTGGTCAAAGTGGGCTAAATTTGCCAGTTCTCCACCTAAACTTGCCCCCAAATTCCCGCACCCTCCCTGGTTCAGTTTTGCTCATAACACCGCTCCGTTTCTCTGTATTCTCCTGAGAACCGAGTTAGTGAGTTGCCTCTTGTTTACTCACACTATACCAGGTGGTTGTTTTAAGTCATGACAGACGCACAAACTTTGTTCTCTTTTAAATTTCTCCAGAAAACTAATCAAGTAACCTTAACAAGTCCAAAAAAATGTGTTTTCATTGTAACTAATGCACGCAATGCTAACAGAGTAAACAGGATAAAGAGCAGCAAAGGGGGGAATCTGCTATGTTTGTCAGGACAGTGACGATGAAGTCACTGGGTGGTACGATGAGATCATCCATCCTGTGTGTGTGTGTGTGTGTGTGTGTGGTGTTCACTCCCTTTTCTTCCTCCCACACCCACTGAGAAATGTTTGGGGAAAAAAACAAAACACGTCTTCTGTCTCGCCCAGTGCTTCCTCACACACCATCGTCGTCCTCATCATCACCACAGTCAAACTGTCTGGAAATGTCTAATTCCCCGCATCTCGTCTGTCTTCTCTGCGTGACACGAGTCTCTAATGACTAAGACTTTTCGTTTGCATTTCTTTCTTCAGTCAGGACACACATACTTTCCACATCTAACAGTCATTAGCAGAGGAAGTGGGCTAAACATTACAGAAAAACCTAGTTATGATTATTTTTTCGTCAATCAGGCATTCACTTACATTATTGTAAAAAAAAAAAAGAGTGAAGAAGAAAATGAAGAATCACATAAGACGTACTTACAATTGAAAAAAAAAATACCATCAGTAAATTAAAATATGTGTATTTGGAAAACTGACTACCTGCTGAGCTAGTTGAGCTATCTGTGTTTCAAGTCAGTTATACTCAGGGCGGATAACACACAATGGCAATGCTTTCCAATGGTTTACATTCATTTGTGCAGCTTATTTGTATAGTGATGGCAGCTGTAGAAGTCTTAAAAAGTCTTAATGTGTATAAAGCGAGGCTAATTTCCAAACATAGTACGTAAATGGGCATATCTGTTTAAAGTGAGTGTTGCATATTAAAGACAAAAACAAGGACCTACTGTTATTCAAACAAGTAAACTATTAAAAGTGACTAATAACCAAAATTTGTTCAGCACCAGCTGGAAGATTTTTATTGACTTCTAGTCGTGGTTGAAAAATAGTTCACCTGGATGTCATTTAGTATCAGTTAGACTTTAGTGGGAGAAAACTCGTTCATCCATCCTTCCATTTAATTTGTAAACCCTTTTATAGATTGAGCAATCCATCCATCCGTTCTCTTCTGCCTAATGATTTTCCCAAAAACTTAACCCTGTTGAAAATTTGTAGATTATGCTTTTAAAGCCAGGTCCATGCCAAGAAACCAACATATTTAAATGAACTCTGAATACGGTTATTCCAAGTAAAGTGGTCAACCATAGTTATATTTGATATTTGAGTCTATGTACATACTTTTGACTCAATTGAGACTAGATAAAAATCTAAATTAACTTCAAACATGTGCATCCAGTTCTTTTTTGTTTTCTTTTTAAGTTATTAAAGGTGTGTGCTGTACAGTCATTCCAGCCTAGAGAAAGAACAGTTCAAAGAAATCATTAAATGTGCATAATTACCATGACATCCATGTCCATGATGAGTACATTTAAATCACAGATATACCTCACGAGATCGTAATGCTATGCTTTGACTAGAAGTGCGGCCTTAATTGTGCAGCTCTTTATCTGTTGTGATGTGTTGTGCTCTCTTTAGATGTCTATAAAGCAGACTGCAGGAGGTGCAGGAGGAGGAGGACGTGCAGCAATCTGTCTCATATGTAAAGAGAGCTGCTCTGGTTTTCAGCCACATACTTGGAGGTACAGTTCCCCCCTTTTTTAATTCATTTTTTTTTCCTGTACAGGAAATGTAAAATTTTAGTGGTCTCACCACTGCTCCCTCACTACTTACACATTCATTCCTTTTGAAGAAAAATATTAAATATGTTTGTGACTGAACACCAGATGGGTGTAGGCTGTCAAACCACATGCCCAGACTCCCAAAGTTTTCAGACTACATGGAAGAAATAACCAGGCAAGCTGGAAAAACACAAGTTAAATGTTCTTTTATTCTTTTATTTGAGCAAGCCAAAGAGAGTAATATTTGGCCAAAAAACAAAACAAAAACATAAAATGACAAGAACGGATTTAAATCGTCGCTTATCCTTTTTGGTGTTTCTTCTATCCAGAAAAGCCTGCACAGTATGTGGCTGCAGCACGGTCGACCACGCTCCTGGAAATGACCTTGAAGATGACCAGCGAATAGGACGCCTGCTCGCAGACTCGCCCTGCTCCCATTTGACAGCGAAGATTAAAGGAGGTGGTGGCCTTCGCATGTACAAGAGAAACCGAATGATTGTCACCAATCCGGTGGTGTCACGCAAAGACCCGACCTTCAACACCACCACATATGACTGGGCTCCTGCTGGCCTCAACCAGAAACTGGTAGGATTCACTGTGGAGTGCAGGAGACTGCTGCTGATTCTCTTTTTCTTTTATTCTTTCTTTTTTTTAAAAAAAAAAAATAGTGGATGGATTTTGGATACTACAGGATATTTTTCAGATAGATACATTAAAATAACCTAACAGAACCAAAACCACAAACACGGTAAAGAGCTCCATTTTAGCGATATTATTTAGCTCAGCTGTTGCATACAGCTATTGCTTCCAGCCACCTGTTCAAGCATAGCTCTGGAATTAATGGACAATGCAAATAGCCAAAGAAATACCCCCATCAAACAGCTGTAGTAGTAATATGAACAAACCTGAAACTGGGAATGAGGAAACGGAGACATGGAAACACCACAGATGAAATGTAGGGGATGAAGAACGGGAAGATGTACAGATGAACCAGCAAAGAACAAGGAAGACGCAGAGCTTAAATACACAAGTAGGACAATGAGAGGATGGGGAACACAGCTGGGACGAATCTGACATAACAGGACACAGAGAAGCAAAACTCATAATAATAATGTGTATGTCCCCATAGGGACTAATTACTCCTATGGGCTGCCCCATTCACCCAGTGGGCAGCCACGAGCGCCTAGGGAGCAGTGTGTAGGGACGGTAGCTTGTTCAGGGGTACTTCGGGGTAGCCGTTCAGTGGATTTGAATCCCCGACCTTCTAATCATGGGGCAACCACTTTACCTACTGAGCCACCCATGCCACTCAATACACTGAACGGGATTATCACAATAAAATAGGAAGCACAAGACATTCATGGTGATGCAGACTAGATACTGAGACATGGAAACATGAGGCAAGGTGCAGAAACAGAACAGAACCCTAGAAACCAGGAACAATGGATATAATACGACAGAAAACCATAATTCGAAGAGTAAAACTTAAATTAAAAACACAAACACTGGGTCACCAATCCAGGACCCTGAAAACTCAAGAAAAAATAATGCATGAAATTACATTTTATTTTCATCATCAAGTTAACAACTCAAACTTCTTCCTTCTTCCTTTGTCCTGAGTATTTATTTACTCAGGACACTTTAGTTCAGATTTACCTCAGTTGGTGCTGCTCTTCCTGTATGAAGAATATGAACTGTCCCATTAAAACCAGACTCAAGTATGTTTCAGGCTTCCCAGCCCATAATTATGAAGATGACAGACGTTACTGCGGTTGAACTTGTAGAGGCAGATCCAAATCCAACTGGGGGACTGTTTTCCAGATGTGCCTCTAAAAACATCTCGTTTGGTTCATCCCTCACTTTTTGTTTGTTTGCGTTTTCCAACCCACTACCACACTTTTAGTCACTGCTTCATTCTGGTGAAGTAATCTGACAACCCACAGATGTGTCAGTGACGACATCGGGAGAGTCCGATGACAGCTTAAAATGTGTTAGATAAGCCTATCTAGGTTTCAGGAGCGGGAAAAGATCGAGAGATTGAATTTGTGAAAACCGCATCATCTGTTGCAGGCCATGCAGTACATGGAGCTCCTCCCAGAGAGTCAGAGGCCAGTCTCAGGGACTGTTGGAGCGTTGGAGCGACGCAGGCAGCTCCTCATCCAGCTCCCCGCCTACGATCAGGACCCCATGAAGTGTCAGAGCCTGGCCAGTGAGGAGGAGGTAAATTACTCTGCCGTGACCAGTTCAACACACATGATTATCAATAATCTGAGCAGTATGTAATCATTCCACCTATAATCAAGATATTAAAAGTTGGCTAATCACTTTCATGATGGAGTCATTCTTCCTGCAGATTTCCTCCATGCTGCTGTTTGTGAAGCAGTACAAACAGGAAGTGCTGGGAGTAGGAGAGGTGGCCTTACCCGGTGAGGGTGAAGCTTTGAGGGAAGCAGCCATTCAGAGGACAGCAAAGGAGGTGAAGGAACACAGCAGCAGCAATAAGAAGGATGCTCCTCAGCATCAGGATCACAGTTCATCTAACAGCAGTGTCGCCTCCCCCACAAATGGGACAGAATACAACAACAAGACTGAATATGTAAGTGGGTGTGTGACCCTGGATGCTTTAATCACCAGCTGTTACCAGCTGCAGATCTGTCAATAAGAAGGAAAAGAGAGAAAGCTTCGATTAATGATTAGTTTTTTTTGTTTCATGATACAACCTTTTAATTGTACATAGGAAATCTAATTCACATCAAACCAATCAAATACAGTCACAACAACAGTAAGAGCAGAAAGTGTTACTGAGCTCACAGACAGACTCTGCACAACAGCCTGCTGAAGTCTCCTTATCCAACTTCTCAGGTCTTATTTCACGATCAGTACCGCTAACATGCTGTCTGCTCATGACATGTAGGGCAAGTTTGTTTACTTTGTTTCAGTGTGGTGTAACAACAGCACAGGGGCATCACGCCCCCTTTCAATCAAACACTAACTTCACCACGTTCCTCCAGCCAGCTCTTCTTTCTTGTAACAACAAAAAACTGCAAAATTGGATGACTAAATGTGGTTTTAGTTCGACTTGAAACACTTAATGTTGCCAACGCTGCCCAATTATGCCTATTTTTGGGACTCTTTGGTCGACTATTGCTCTCTTTATTTCACTTAAGAAAGATTTGTAGTCTTGTTTGCAATACTGGTCCTAATTAAAACCTGTTTCTGTGTTTCTACTAAAAATATTTCTATTTTTCTATCAAATTTCAGTGAGAACAGAACAGCATGCTTGTTTTTTACTTTCACGTGTTGCAACGGCATAATCGTGCCAAAGTCGCATCTACCATGTGTGCTCAAAGAACTGAGATCAGATGTATATTTACCTGTTCTACCTGTGGAAGTCATGTGATTGGTTGATTAGTGAGGTGGAGATTTATGTCATCTTTTAAACTGATCGGGATCCGGAAATCCTTCTAGATTCCCTGTGGAGGGAATTTTCTGTTTTGATTTAAACCAAAGTTCTTGTGGATCAGGAGACTCTACATTTGTTTCACTAATTTCGTACTTGACCTCTCACACAGTTTTCTGTCCTCTAGCATTGCACCGGCTGCCAAGGTGAAGTTACCAAGGACAGTCCTGCAGTATATGCAGAGCGTGCAGGTTACCACGCTGCCCTGTGGCATCCCAAGTGCTTTGTATGTTCAGAGTGCGGCCAGATGTTGGCTGACCTGGTCTACTTCTGGTCCAATCAGAAGCTGTTCTGCGGACGACACTATTGTCAGAGACAGTGGCCACGGTGCTCGGGCTGCGACGAGGTGAGGCTTCACTCCCTGTAGTTATTGCTGATCAGTAAGTGTTGGTGATCTGTTTGCAGTCTGAACTTCATGAAATCAGAAAATCTGAAACAAAACAATACCATATACTATTGTTAAGTCATCACATAGCAATAATTTAGCTTATCACGCACTGTAAATAAGGTGTTCACGTGAGAGGAACTACCATAAAATACTAACTGCTGTCACATTTAAACCTCTTTAACTTTGATTTTTGCTTGAGCATACACTTTATAATCCCTCTTTCTGACTCTGAGAATGAACCAAATTTACAAAATGACTTTATTTTTTTATTCAGTATGACCTAAAGTGAGTTACTGAGCCCACAAGCACATTAGAAGGACTTTCACAAAGGTCAGGACAAAGGCTGTTTTCCTCACAGGTTTCTATCGTAAGAGAAGTCTTTTTACAAACACCCCCTGGTGGCCATTACACAGAATGCAAGCTCCACATTGGCTTTTTCGCTAAGTCCATCTTTTATTATGCCTTTGCATTTGAGTATGAAAAGTCAGCTCTATGTGGCAGTGTCATCCATCCACAACCACTGCAAACACTTTCCTGATGGACTGAAGTGCTACTTTAAACTATCATAAAATGTGCATGATATTGATTTAGCAAAGTATGTCGGGCCATTTGTTTAAAATGGTGATGATAAGGAGAATAAAGTAAGACAGGCTTGAGGGCCAGCCTCCCTTGTGACCTGCTAGATGCTAATGCGTGAGTCTGCAGCATCTTTTGGGGGGGGGTTTCAGTCATGTCATCTGTTTCAAAAAGGTTAGATGTCAACAGTCACAACAGAAGCCTAGACTTTAAAAACAATGGGTGATGTCATAGTTTCAAAATGCATCTTTTTTCAAACAGTCTGTATACAGTTCTTCTGTTTTGTTAATAATAAAAATATGTTTTAGCTCCTTTTTTATTACATCCGAGTTCACCATGTAAAATTATTTAAATGGTAAATAACAATAAAAGGCCCTGTTATAGATTGTAGTAGATAATAATACAATGCTTTAAAGTATTTTCGTATATACACAGCTTATTCTTATGTGGATTTAATAATGAACTAAAAGTTTTAAACCCAGATGAGAATAAATGACTGCATAAAAATGGAAATGAGTCTACCAACTCTATGCAACGCCACAGATATAATTGAATAATATTTTTGTTTTTATTTTTTGTGT